AATCCAACAATTAATTTCCAGACAGGAGTTGGAAAAAAATACTGCGGTGATGTCCAGGTTTTCTTCCACCCGCGCTCGCTTTTTATACAAGTGCAACCCTCTGTCTATTTCTGGAACGCGATCAAAACCCTGATGCTATTTTTAGCAGGTACTGGGGAAAAAAATCCACACACAAAGGCATTTCGCTGGAACGCTACGTCCAAAACATTAAATGTGCATTAAGTCTGCCCCCCTACAACACAACCACCCCCAACCACGCACCCCCCTACCCCAGCTTCTTTCTGCACCACCATCCACAGTTGCTTTTAGGTGCATCATTGCAGAGAATTAAAAAAAAAAAAAACCACCACCAACAAAAACACCACACCAAACAACCCAAACTGACCGCCTTCCATGCTGTCCTATTGCACAAACCCCTAATCCACAGTTGTATTGAGTCTCTCTCTCTGCCTCTCTGCCTGTTGCCTTGCAAGCATTATTGTATCTGTCTTCTTGCAGTGTCTTTATAAAGTGGGCTTTGGAAAAAACACAACAACCACCATGCACCAGTTTGCCATCATGCACAAATGTGGATTTCAGGCAGGGATGCTTGCTTTGCCGAGAGACAGAGATGGTTTCATGTAGTGAATTGCACCCAGCACAAAGGAGGGTTGTTTTTTTTTTAAAAAAATCTCTCCTCCCCGCCCAGTGCCTTTCCCCCTTTAAAAAATCCTTTGTTGGGAGAATAAAGGATCTATAAATATATATATATGAAAAAAAAAGGGTGTGTGTGTGTTTGCGTTCTAGTAATTCACTACGAGGGGGGACTGGGGAAAAAATAGAATCATTAGGGCTTGCAGGCTGCAAGGAGCCAGCCTGAGACTCCTTTGCAAGGCTGCGTCAGTTATCAGCTATTGACGTCACGTTCAGATTCTCCTCTTCAGAGGCTCTAGTTCATCATAAAAGATGTCTGTGCTTGGAGCTTTGTGCTTGCAGTAAGGCACTTCAATTCGAGGAAAAGAGTTAATTAGCAACCCCCATATTTTGTGTTGTGCAGCTCTGTACGGTTGCACAAAAATCCTGAGGGGGGTGCATATGTGTGTTTGCAAGGGGGG